CCCGATCGTGCTTGCATTGTTGCTTAGGGTGGTCAGAAGACTCTGCATTTTGTCAGCGTCTTCACCAAGTAGGACTATGTCATCGGCATATTCTAAGTCGATAAGCGAGCCACCTGGTAAAAGGTCTACTCCTGAAAATTCAGACGACGATAAGGTTATTTCTAGGAGCGTGTCTATGATAAAATTAAACAAGAATGGAGAAAGTGGACATCCCTAACGGACACCACTTGAAGTAGAGAATTCCGATGACAGTTCGCCATAAGCTCTCACTCAACCAGTGGTGTTCAAGTAGAGAGCTTGTATAAGGTTAGTGTACTTCTTTGGTACACCTTTCAATGACAGACACTGCCACAGAACCTCACGATCCACAGAGTCAAATGCCGCTTTTAGGTCCATGAAAACAACTATTGTAGGACGCCTAAATGTGTGTCTGTGTTCCAGGACCTGTCTGAGTGTGAAGACGTGGTCTATACAGCCACGTGCAGGTCGAAAACCAGCCTGGTTTTCTCGAGTCTGCTCTTCACGAGTTTTCGTTAGGCGCCGAAGTATTATTGAGGCCAATATTTTAGATACTATATTAGTTAGACATATTCCCCTGTGATTGTATGTGTATGTATACTTTACGCATATATATGACAAGCAATATCATTTACATATACTTTGTTTACTTATAATTGTACCGACTCACTGGATAAAAAATTTAATCGACGCAGTGCATTTTCAACTACGACAAACCAGACCCTTCGGGACTACTGCCGGTCCCGAGCCCGGATAAAGGAGGAGGGTTGGGCTGTCAAAAACTAACTTGCCAAAAAAACGCTAACCAGAAAAAAATAATCCAAACCATTTTAACTCTGCCCTGGGAGTTGGAGGAAGAATTATGACGTCGCGTGATGAAAGCCGAGTTCCCTCGAAAGTCACGGGGCTGATGCCTCTTCTCACAACCAGAGCAACCATTCTTTTAGGTACATGGAACGTTCGTACATTGTGGGAGAATCGAAGACTATTTCAAGTTGCGGCAGAAATGAAAAGATACAACCTCGAGGTGCTCGGCATCAGTGAAACGCATTGGACACAGGTAGGACAACTGAGACATGCTTCAGGGGAACTGCTGTTATATTCTGGTCATGAAGAGGAAAACGCTTCACATACACAAGGAGTTGCACTGATGCTGTCCAAACATGCACAAAAGGCACTGATAGGATAGGAATCTCATGGACCCAGGATCATTAAAGCATCCTTCAAAACAGAGAAACAGAACATTACAATGAACGTCATTCAATGTTATTCACCTACCAATGACTACAATGACGAAGTCAAAGATCAATTCTACGAAAGGCTGAAGTCAATCGTCCAAAAATGCTCACCAAAGGATTTGACGATTCTTATGGGAGACCTAAATGCCAAGGTTGGCATGCACGACACAGGATATGAAGACATCATGGGACAACATAGACTAGGAGAAAGGAACGAAAATGGTGAGAGATTTGCAAACCTATGTGCCTTCGACAAACTGATCATCGGTGCACAATATTCCCGCACAAACGCATACACAAAGCCAAATGGATTACACCGGACCACACTATTCAGAACCAAATCGACCATATCTATATCAATAAAAAGTTCAGAAGGACCGTGGAGGACGTGAGAACCAAGAGAGGAGCTGACATAGCCTCAGATCACCACTTGCTGGTCACTAAAATGAAACTGAAACTCAAGAAACACTGGATAACAGGGCAGACACCATCACACAAGTTTAATACGAGATACCGTTAAACTTAACAAATTCAAGATAACCCTCACCAATAGGTTCCAGGCCTCGCACGATATACTCAATGGAGAGAAAGCAACATTAGAGAACAATTGGAAAGGGATTAAAGAGGCAATCACTTCAACAAGTCACGAAGTTCTGAGTCACAAGAAGTACCATCACAAGGATTGGATCTCTATTGGTAATCTTGAAAAAATTGAAGAAAGGAGGAACAAGAGGGCAGCAATCAATGTCAGCCGTACAAGAGCAGAGAAACTTACCACACAAGCTGCATACACAGAAGCAAACAGGGAAGTGAAGAAGAGCATCAGAGCTGACAAACGAAAATATGAGGAAGATCTAGTAATGACGGCGGAAAAGGCTGCAAAAGACGGAAACTTGAGACAGTTGTACGAACCTAAAAAGAAGCTCGCTGGAAACTATCGTGAACCAGGACGACCAGTAAAAAGCCAGGAAGGAAAAGTAATCAGCAACACTGAACAACAGCGAAATAGGTGGGTAGCGAACTTTAAGTAACTCTTGAATCGACCAGCTCCACCTACAATCGAGTAGATCAGTATGGCCATCAGACAAATCAAGAGTAGCAAATCAGCGGGACCAGACAACATTCCAGCAGAGGCAATGAAAGCAGACGTGTAAGCAACTACTAAAATATTTCACATCCTCTTCAAGAAGAATTGGGATGAGGAACAAGTACCATCAGATTGTAAAGAAGGATACCTCATCAAAATACCAAAGAAAGGCGATCTCAGCAAGTGTGAGAACTACAGAGGCATCACTCTTCTTTCAATACCAGGCAAAGTCTTCAACAGGGCATTGTTAAACAGAATGAAGGACTTCATAGACACCCAAATTCGAGATCAACAGGCCGGATTTCGTAAGGATCGATCGTGTACTGACCAAATTGCTACATTACGGATCATTGTGGAACAATCAATTGAATGGAACTCACCACTCTACATCAACTTCATCGACTACGAGAAAGCATTCGATAGCGTGGATAGGAAAACACTGTGGAGGCTTCTTCGACACTACGGTGTGCCTGAGAAAATAGTTAACATCATACGGAATTCTTATGATGGATTCAACTGCAAAATCGTACACGAAGGACAGCTAACAGACTCTTTTGAGGTGAAGACCGGTGTCAGGCAATGTTGCTTACTCTCACCCTTTCTCTTTCTACTGGTCATCGACTGGATTATGAAAACGTCAACATCTGGAGGGAAGCACGGTATCAGCTGGACGATCTGGACTTCGCAGACGACCTGGCCCTTCTGTCGCACACGCAACAACAAATGCAAGAGAAGACGACCAGTGTAGCAGCAGCCTCTGCAGCAGTAGGTCTCAACATACATAAAGGGAAAAGCAAAATTCTCCGATGCAACACAACATGCACCAACCGAATCACGCTTGATGGAGATGCCTTGGAGGACGTTAACACCTTTACATATCTGGGCAGCATCATCGACGAGAAAGGTGGATCCGATGCAGATGTGAGGGCGCGGATTGGCAAAGCAAGGGCTGCATTTCTACAATTAAAACATATCTGAAACTCCAAACAACATTCAACCAACACCAAAATCAGGATTTTCAATACAAATGTCAAGACAGTTCTACTGTATGGGGCGGAAACTTGGAGAACTACGAAGGGCATCATCCAGAAGATACAAGTATTTATTAACAGTTGTCTTCGCAAAATACTTCGGATTCGTTGGCCAGAGACTGAGCAACCATGTATTGTGGAAGAGAACAAACCAGATTCCAGTAAGTAAGTTCATAAGTTCAGGTTGCCATACCAGATTAGCACAGAGACATAATTATCATTTCAAACCTCATAGTAATATAGGTAGTAGAAATGTTAGTAGTAATCAGAAACCTTAGGGTTTGACGATATTATTCGAGAAGTAGAATCCAGTGAAATAAACATGAAAGAAAAATATAACGGTGGTGACGAATTTAGATGGTCAAGATTTGGGAGGACATAAAGAATGAATGCACCTGTGCAATTGCAACCGGTTTTAAGGCATGTCAATCAGGGTCCATAACCATCGATTACTGTCATCACGTGGGCCCCAACCAGCTAGTCGAGAGTTTAACTGCAAAGCCTCTATTGTCGTCTAAAAGTCACCATTAACATTTCTACATGAAGCGATAACGACTCTAGAGAGACTAAAATTAAACTACCTAGATCTGGGAACACAACACCGTGAATAATGATTTTCAAATTGAACTACATGTATGTAACAACATTCTGGCATGTTTTGACGGTACTTCATCACTGATCAAAATTTATCCCAGATTTATTGATTACAAAGAAAAATTCATACGTTCAATTCATGTCTCCTACAGTTTATGTGGTCAATGCGGAAAATCGTAACGAAAACAACCGAGCTAAAAGAATTTCTAAATGAACAAACGTTTCGAAAGTCGTCGTAATTGATTAGTTAATTAATTGATTATAATTGATTAATTAGGTTACATAACAAATTGACAATAGATAGTAATTTCTTCGTTGAACAAACAATTTATCAATGGGGTAGTAACTAGAAAAATAAAATTGTCTCACTAATGATAGTTTTTAAAAACAAAATTACAAATAACATGTTTGATGTTACAATAACAAAAAATGTGTTGTTACAAATCTGTTTTTTAACTATTCCTCATCTCTGTTTGTATATGTATATATGTATATATATGTGTATGCGTATGAGTGAAGTGTGTACAATGTTAACACTGGTAAACAAAATGTTTCAGGTCACACAGAGGTTAAATGTAATGAAGATGGTGATGTAGAATGAAAGTAATCTCATTTATTACAGATCATCGCCACATTGATCAAACTAACACCACACAAAAAAAAACAATAATGATAATGATAATAAACGAGATCAGTTCATAATAACAATAATAATGTATAACATATTTTGCTCTATTCTGTGTATTTTTGCAATGTAGTTTACAAACGGATGTGTTGGTCGAGAAAAGAAAATCAATAAAAATCCAGTGAATAAATGAAACAACAATTCATCAGTCCATATTATAAAAAGACTGAGAAAATCAGCACAATAAGTTGCATTATTGATTGGTGAGATTTAGTGCATTCTGTTTGTTTGTTTGTTATTTTCGTTTTGTTTTATTTTAAATCTAATTTATAAAAACAAAATTTCTGATCATAAAACAATGATTAGAATAACACAATTCTTTTTTTTTTAAAAAAAACAAAGACAATTTATACAATAAATGTAAATATGTACATAAGTAAAGCAGAGATAGCACCAGCAGCCGGTAAAGTTACTAACCATGCAAGTAGAATATTACGAAATATGCCCCAATTAACATTATCTTTAGATCGTGCACGTCCAACAAATACAACAGAACCAACTTTACAATGTGTAGTTGATATTGGCAGACCAATTTTACTAGCAATCAGCACAGTTAGCGCTGAACCGATTTCAATGGAAACACCACTAAAATGAAATGAAACAACAACAACAACAACAACAAATAATACTGTTAACAAAAAAAGACAATCAAACAAAATTAGGTAATAATATTATTATTCATACAATAATTACATCTGATCTACAATATCGTGTGTATATCAATCATTAAAACAAAACAATTCAAACATCTTCACAAACACTGTACCAAGAATAATCGTATGGTCTCTAGTGACTCTCATCAATTCAACAAGGATTTTCAATAACAAGTATTAACACTAGTCGAATTAATCCGATCACATGACTCACATAGTCAGCTGAATAATACAAATTAGATTTCTAAACAAAGTGACATATTAAAAGAACCCACACACTTAGCAAGCATTTGCATAATCCGCTGCAATATCCGTGTGAACCATTGAAACTGATCGAAAACGAGCGCAAACAAGACATGAAATATCCACAAGGAATAAAATTATTCTATTGAAAATCAATTACTTACCTGGATGGTGTCATTTGAGATAGATCTTCTCCTAATGTCTGAATAACTCGTCTACCCCATATCCAAAGACCGACTGATATACCGACACCACCATAAACTAAAATCCATAAATCTGTAGTTTTAGATGAATCAACCAACTGTGTTGTGGCAATAAGCCATAAACCAATCAATGGCCCGATAGCATTACTATATAAAATAAATCATTGCCAAATAACACAAGCAACAGTTTGAAATGAATACTCGCAACAAGATTGTTATTATTATTATTATTAGTTTCTTTTATGGTGAAAATGTTCTGTGATTCGAGTGATCCAAAATTAACTAATTTCATAATGCAATTCCTAAATAATTAAAACCACAAGATTCATGTTGCCATTTAACTGTGATAGAATAGGAGGTGTATGGAATGGGAAGACATTCACTGCATAGTGTTTGTTTCGACAAAAAACAGTGTAGATGTACAAGAATACTGAGAGAGCTTTATGGAAGAAATATTGTAAAATATTATGAACAATTGCGGAATCCCATTGTGCTTTTTGTTTTTCTCAAACTACAGCACTGATAATACTCTATTAGGAATTATATATACTTGAGTCAGAAGGAGAAAAAACATCAAAGATTACAATAATCGCTTTTAAAGTTTCCAAAAATCACAGTCCGTTCTATTTAGATGTGCATCAATTGATATCATTTCATACGAAGTACCTAATGTAAACAAAAACAGACAGACTGACAAGTGTTACACTGTTGTTTGATAACAATCTACTCCATTTTTTCCCGACCGAAGCTGCTACCTTGACGTGGTGGTCGGGCTTGCCTATCGTGATGACCCAACCGAGCTATACTGGCTGCAACATATGTTCCTTCAGGTCCTACCATGCCAGGCTGGTCGATTGGAGAACGATGAGACTAAAAGCAGCTACCCAAGGTCTGAGGGCGAAGTCGTAATGCTGACTGCAGAGGGGTGTGACAGCAGTAAGGTGTTTCCCTCGGACAACCAGCATCTGCAGCGATGCTGCCTTCTCACAAGGAAGGAAGGGTTAGAAAAGGTCGGCCCTAAAAATGTCACACCTCCCCTAACTCACGGATTTCCGTCTCCTCGGGTAAGGGTGCCCACTAAGGGCCTTTAAGAACGGAGCTAATCCTCTAAATACCTCTCATAAAAAGAACGTGCGTGACCGGCCTCAAGCAGTTGTCCCTTGGACTCTACGGTCACGCACCAACACTAATCCATCTTCCTTTTCAGGTTCGTCAAGAAACAACCTTCCACGGTGTGGGCAGCCGGGAAGTGATAACCGCCCTCATACCCGCAACAGCACACGAGACAAAATCGTTCAAAATCAAATCCTTCCTACATTCCCTAATACCTCTCTTATCTCCACAACTAACTCGTCTCACATTCATTTATTACAGTGCACAGCTAATGCAAACGATGCGAGTTTGCGAAACGTCGTTCCTGGTCTCCTTAAACCCCGTTCCAAACTACATGTTGGAGCATTCAATGTACGGACATTGTGTCAAATAGGGCAACAGGCGTCATTAGCTAGGACTTTAGAATCTCGTTCCATCGATGTGTGCTGCGTCTCGGAAACGCGCATACAGGATCCGAGTAGCATCACTCATTTGACCTCACCATGTCAAGATAAAGAAGCAGCTCGATTTACTCTTCGTGTATCCGGTAGCCCTGATGCGGCTTCCCGGGGTCTTGCTGGAGTAGGCATAGCATTGAGTGGTAGGGCAGAACAATCTCTCCTTGACTGGATCCCTGTAGATAGTCGCTTGTGCGCCGTCCGACTCAACGGGACAGTAAGGACTCGGAAACATAAGGACACTCGCCGTTGCCTCTTCGTCATATCAACCTACAACCCCACTGACTGCAGCCCAGATGATGTAAAAGATGAGTTTTACAGAAAGCTTTCGGACCTCCTCCAAAACGTTAAGCGCTCTGATATAGTTATAATGGCTGGTGACTTCAATGCACAAGTAGGTAGACTAAGTGAAAATGAAAGACACCTAGGTGGATGTTACGGTCTCGCGGCTCAAAGAACAGACAATGGCGACCGTCTGTTGCAACTGTGCTCAGATAACCAACTATTTCTAGCAAACACTAATTTTAAGCATAAAGAAAAACACCTTTTGACCTGGCGACCCCCGAAGTCGTCTCAACGTTGGACACAACTAGATCATATCGCCATCAGCCACCGCTGGAGGGGTTCGATAGAGGACTGTCGCTCGTTGTGGGGCACATGTTTAGATTCAGATCATGCCCTAGTGCGAGCACGTATTTGTTTGAGCCTGCTTGCTGGACGTAGGAAAGACACCGTAAGGAAGCCTCTTAGGGCTTTACTTGATGATAATCAAGCTAAGAAAATATTTCAGGAGGAACTAGAAAAACATTTATGCGATCATGCAAGTGATTCCCATCCGGAGTCAGGTTGGAATGATATAAAGAAGGCTGTGGAAACAGCAGTGATATCTGCTAGCAAGGTAAACCATAAGGCTAGGATGAAGCCGTGGATTTCAGTCGCATCCACCGAACTGATGGATGCTCGAAAACGCATCCCACCTGACTCTGAACATGATGAAGAGCGTACTCAACTTAGGCACAGACTTATAAAAAGCCTACGTAACGACCGTGAACAGTGGTGGGTGGCGAAAGCAAAAGCGATGGAAAAGGCAGCGGCGATAGGCAACACTAGACAACTTTTCCGCCTTATCAAAGAAACCGGTATTAGGAACCCGAATGTAAGTGAGACTATCTCGGAAAAGGATGGTCTTATTATCCATTCTCAATCTAGGAGGCTGGACCGATGGGCAGAACACTTTAGGGATCAGTTCAACTGGCCACGAGCCACTCTTCGGTTACCCACGATCTCCAGTCATCCTGAATGGCAAATCGACCTAAGTCCCCGTAGTCTTAATGAAGTTGAGAAAGCGTTAGGAAATCTGAAACGAGGACGAGCTGCAGGTCCTGATAGACTGCCCCCTGAGATGTTTAAGGATGGTGATCCAGTTTTAACGGTTAAACTGACCGAGATCCTAGGTAGAATCTGGGAAATGGACGTAATCCCATCTGACTGGTCTCAGTCGCTAATTGTCACAATCTACAAGAAAGGACAGAAGTCCTCTTGTGACAATCACAGGGGAATAAGTTTAACTAATATAGTTTCTAAATTGTTAGCCTCGATTATACTTAGACGTCTAACTAGGGCTCGCGAAGAGCAGACTCGAGAAAACCAGGCTGGTTTTCGACCTGGACGTGGTTGTATAGACCACATCTTCACACTACGACAGGTCCTGGAACACAGACACACATTTAGACGTCCGACAATAGTCGTGTTCCTGGACCTTAAGGCGGCATTCGACTCAGTGGATCGTGAGGTTCTGTGGCAGTGTCTGTCATTGAAAGGTGTACCAAAGAAGTACATTAACCTTATACAAGCACTCTACTCGAACACCACTGGTCGGGTGAGAGCATATGGCGAACTGTCACCGGAATTCTTCACTTCAAGTGGTGTCCGTCAGGGCTGCCCACTCTCTCCATTCTTGTTCAACTTTGTCGTAGACATCCTCTTAGAGTTAACATTAAGCTCGTCAGATTTTTCAGGGGTTGACCTTCTACCAGGAAAGTCGCTTACTGATCTAGAATATGCCGATGACATAGTTCTATTCGGTGAAGACGCTGACAAAATGCAGAGTCTTCTGACTACCATAAGCAACAATGCGAGCATGTTCGGGATGCGGTTTTCCCCCTCGAAATGCAAAATGTTGCTTCAAGACTGGGTTGCTTCGGCACCTGAACTAGTGATAGGGAGTGAAGTAGTCGAGCGTGTAGATCACTTCACTTATCTGGGGAGTCTCATCAGTGCTGACGGTCTGGTGACTGACGAAATCTCAGCTCGGATACAGAAAGCTCGATTGGCTTTTGCCAACCTGCGTCACTTATGGCGTAGGCGTGATATCCGTTCGCTAACCAAAGGGCGGGTGTACTGCGCAGCAGTTCGTTCCGTTCTCTTATATGGCTGTGAAACATGGCCGTTAAGAGTAGAAGATGTTCGTAGGTTACTAGTATTCGATCATAGATGTTTAAGAAGCATTGCTCGTATATCGTGGGACAGCCGAGTAAGCAATGCTGTCGTTAGGAAACGAGTACTAGGTAAGGATGGCAGATCAATCGATGAAGTGTTGAAACTTCATCAGTTGAGGTGGTTGGGACATGTGTTACGTATGCCTAACCACCGACTGCCTCGACGAGCTATGTTTTGTGGTGTAGGAGTAGGTTGGAAGAAAGTTAGGGGCGGCCAGACCAAAACATGGCACAAATCCATGAAGTCACTGACAAGTGGACTGAGTCATGTTGGTAGATGTAGACTACCTGGTTGGGGTCCGCGAGACGAAAGTCATCAATGGTTAGAGACCTTGAATGACATGGCTCAAAATCGTTTGCAATGGCGCAGGTGCATCCACTCTTTGAGCTCTCTCAAATCCTAATCTTCTGGATTAGCCAGCACCTCTAGCTTTGTCTTTCTGTCCTTATCTCACTGAATTATATTTTTTGAATAATATCTTAAACCCTAGTCTTCTTTATTATAACATTAATACCTCTACCATCTTTATCACTATGGGATTTGATTTTACATTTGCGTCTGTGTGCTAATAATGTGGTATGGCAACCTGAACTGATGTACATACGTACGAAGTTCTACGTTGTAGCTGACTGACTGACTGACTGAACTGTATTTCTATGAATTTGATTGGCTTATTTTTTTATTGACATTTGTTTTATATGAATGAAAGTCAGTCATTCTTATTGTTGATGATATTAGCATTAAGTAAATTATTGTCGGTGATGAAAAAAAAAATGGAACAACTAGTTTTTTTGGCCAAATTTTAGGATTATTCAAACTATATTATTATTATGCACTTACAACTTTGTCATGGAATCGAACTATGTAATGTTTCTATAGTTTTCCAGCCATTTGAGAGATGGATTCCAGTGATCTCTCTTAGCATTATTCATTGGACATGTCACTAAGTCAGCAACAACGTAGAACTTCGTACGTACGTACATCAGTTCAAGTTACCATACCACAGAACAGAGATGCAATTATCAGTTCAAATATCATAGTGATAGAGGCAGTAGAAGTTTTAGCAGTAATCGAGAAGATTAGGGTTCAGAGATATTA